TCAACATTTGCTTTATAGACTCGCTTTAGATATAAGCCAGTCAGGGAGTCTGGCGTTACAAATGATATTTAGTCATCAAAAAGCAGCAGGATAGAAAGTTCTTACAACTATTAACAGACAGTTTACCATGGTAGGAGAAGGGTGCCTGTCAGTTGGTAAGACATTTCCACGTGTCTCATCTTATATAATCCACACTCCTGTTGTCCCCATTTTACTATCAGGAAACTGATTTTAAGATAAGTTTCAACAGGTGTCTAACCAGTAAATGGTGGAGTTCGAACTGGAACCCAACTCTCCTTATGTCAAGGTTTATATTCTTTCTACTAAGGCATGGGCTTAATGTTTATAAAATAAAATGCTTTAAGTAAATTACCTAGAGGTGCACCTGAGTTAACATAATTAAAATTACTAGCAGATCCTTACCAAAAATTTCTCAAAGAAGGTTCTGACTAATATATATTAAAAGGCATGGCCAGTGGGGCACAGTGGCTCAAGCCTGTAATCCTAATACTTTAGGAGGCTGAGGCAGGCAGACAGCTTGAGCCCAAGAGTTTGAGACCAGCCTGGGCAACATGGCAAAACTCCATCTCTACAAAAAATACGAAAATTAGCTGGGCATGGTGGCATGGACCTATAGTCCCAGCTACTTGAGAGGCTGAGGTAGGAAGATTGCTTGAGCCCAGGAGGTCAAGACTTCAGTGAGCTTTCATCGTACCACTCCAATCCAGCCTAGATGACAGAGTTTGTCTCAAAAGAATAAACAAAAACAAAGAGCAAGGCATAGCCTTCCCTAGGAATTTGGTTTGGGGATTCTCTAACAATAGTAACCGAGGATGTCTGGGGTCTTGTTGGGAATTTTTTTTTTTTTTTTGAGACGAAGTCTCACTCTGTCGCCAGACTAGAGTGCAGTGGCATGATCTTGACTCACTGCAACCTCTGCCTCCCAGGTTCAAGAGATTCTTCTGCCTCAGCCTCCCAAGTAGCTGGGACTACAGGCGCACACTACCACATCCGGCTAATTTTTGCATTTTTAGTAGAGATAGAGTTTCACCATGTTGGCCAGGACAGTCTTGATCTCCTGACCTCGTGATCCACTTGCCTCAGCCTCCCAAAGTGCTGGAATTACAGGTGTGAGTCACCAGGCCTGGCCCTTTCTGGTTCTTGATTATAATTCATCTTTAAATAGTTAAGAGCAACTTGTGCTGTCTGATATTCATGGCCTAGTAAAACTCTTTGACCCTCAGACAAATACAGTATGATTTCATATATATGAAATATCTAGGCCAGGCATGGTATCTCACACCTGTACCCCCAGCACTCCGGGAGGCTGGGATTTTTACTGAGTCCAGGTCCCATCTTTCCTCACTTTGGAAGGCTTTCTGCTGACAAATCCAATATGCCTTTTTTTTTTTTTTTTTTTTTTTTTGAGACGGACTGTCACTCTGTCACCCAGGCTGGAGTGCAGTGGCTATTTATAGCGGCAGTTATAGCGCACTAGCCTGGAGTTCCTGGGCTCAAGCCATCCTCCTGCCCTAGCTTCCTGAATAACTAGGACTACAGCCATGCACTACCACAACTGGCTAAATCCAATTATTTTAAATTAGCTGGAAGAAAAAAGACATTGGGGTTCTTCTTACTTCCCCTTGAGAGGACCAGATCTGGTCCCCAATTTTTAGGACAAAAAGATTTACATTCAGAAAGCCAAGAACAGATCAAAGGGAATGCAGAAGCAGTCACATACTAGTTAGACGCAGAGAGAAAGTCATCCTTTAGATTTATAAACTCCTTGTCATGTTGTTTCCTCTCTTGGCCCCTTCTCCACACTTTTAAACAAGCACGTTGTGGTCTAAGTTGAGAGCTTGACAACGTTTTTGCTATGGTTGAGGCATCAATCTCTTTTGTAATTGAATCTATTCACCAGGGATAGTGTGAGCAAACCATGATCAAGCTCTTTGTCTTTGTCCTAACTAGGCATTTACCATATAAACATAATAAGAAACAAGCCCCTGCAAGTCTTTCTTTTTAACCAATTATCTGGTTGTTTCTCTTGCTGTAGTCCTGCCTTCATTAAAGCTGTCCGGGGGGGAGGGCACAATCTTTGGAAGCATATCTAAGATGCCAATTTCTTTGCATTTCAGTGAAAAGTAAGTCATCAGGGTATTTGAGACATCTCTTCAAGCTTTTCTTGATGGTCAGTATCAGCATGGCCCCTTCCTTTCCAGCTTTCCTCATTCCTAGAGTCTGCTATTGTGCCTTTATACCTTGAAATTGGGGTATACCCATATATCCATATAAAAAACCTTTTTGTTTCTGTAGTCATTACAGGGGAGTCCAGTGTGATTTACAGAACAAACTGAAATCATTCTATCAAGACATAACAAAAAATTAAGGGGAAGGGTCTGGGCTGGAGAATATTAATTAGCCCCTGACCCACCCTATCATCTTTCTCTAGTTCACAAAGATAACTCTCAATTTATCCTCAATGTTCAGAATAATGCCTAATACCTAGTAAAAAATCAACAAATATGTGTTTAGAGAATGAGTAAACGATTACCATAGTTTATTTACCTGCTGAAATTATAGTTTTCTAATTTTAAACTATTATGCAAAAAATGTTTCCAGTTAAATATTTTGCATACCTCTTTTTGAACTCCTGTTTATCTGTAGAATAAAAAAGTTAAATTAGAATGTCTGAAGCAGTGTTTTTCATTATAATCAATATTACTTCAAAGATTACTTAATTTTAATATTTTACTTCAATTAATACTGCCAAATCTACCCCCACCCCTGGCAGTGGCTATCCTGGTTTATACTTCTACCAAGAATATTCACTTTTCCACAAAATTGATATTTTCAAATTTCAGTTTTAGCCAGTGTGGGATAAAATGGATCTCTCTATTATTTTCCTTTGCATGCCAGCGTCACTAGCGCAGTTAAGCATCTTCTTTATGTGGTCAGTTTTATTTCATTCTTACTTCTTCATCTATTGTCTATTTACACATTTGTCCATTTCTCTATAGGGTTATCTTTTTCTTATATACATTTGTTTTCACTATCTATTCCAGATGTTAATTCTTTGTGCACTGTATGTTTCCTCTTTTTAAACTTTATTCATGGTATTTTTGTTCTATGAAACATTTTAGCCCATACTCTCACATCATGGAAGAGTAATTTCCTTGCAAACCTCTCTTGTCTACTCCTACTCAGTAGCATCAAATCCAGTTGATTCAAGTCTTAACCTCTATTCAGAGGAAATATAGTGTGGTGATTAGAAGCATAGGCTAGGCATGGTGGCTCACACCTGTAATCCCAGCACTTTGGGAGGCCGAGGTGGGCGGATCACCTGAGGTAAGGAGTCTGAGACCAGCCTGGCCAACATGGTGAAACCCCGTCTCTGCTAAAAATACAAAAATTAGCTGGGCATGGTGGCACATGCCTGTAATCCCAGCTACTTGAGAGGCTGAAGCACAGGAATGGCTTGAACCCAGAAGGCAGGGATTGCAGTAAGCCAAGATCACGCCACTGCCTGGGCGACAGAGCTGGTCTCTGTCTCAATAAATAAATAAATAAATAAGCATAAACTCTAGGACCAGGCACAGTGGCTCATGCCTATAATCCCAACACTTTGGGAGGTTGAGGCGGGCGGACCCCTTGAGCCCAAGAATTTGAGACCAGCCTCAGCAATGTGGTGAAACCCTGTCACTACAAATAAATAAATAAATAAATAAATAAATAAATAAATGAATGAATAAAAAAAGAATAGGCCGGGAGCAGTGGCTCACACCTGTAATCCCAGCACTTTGGGAGGCCAAGGCAGGTGGATCACGAGGTCAGGAGTTTGAAACCAGACTGGCCAACTACTGGTGAAACCCCATCTCTACTAAAAATACAAAAATTAGCTGGGCGTGGTGGCAGGCACGTGTAATCCCAGCTACTCGGGAGGCTGAGGCAGGAGAATCGCTTGAACCCAGGAAGTGGACATTGCAGTGAGCCAAGATGGCACCACTGCCCTCCAGCCTGGGTGACAGAGTAAGACTGCATCTCAAAAAAAAAAAAAAAAAAAAATAGCTTAGCTGGGCAAGGTGGTATGTATGTGCCTGTTGTCCCAGCTACTCAGGAGGCTGAGGTGAGAGAATTCATTGAGACTGGCAGGTTGGGGCTGCAGCGAGCCATGATGGTGCCACTGCACTCCAGCCTGCGCAACAGGAAAGAGGCCCTTTTCAAAAAAAAAAAAAAAAAAAGCAGAGTCTCTGGGGCCAAACTGATGCACTCATGCAAAAGTTTTGCCACTTACTGTATAACCTTGGGCCACTTGCTTAACCTCTCTGAACCTCACTCGCCTTCTTTGCAAACCAGAGGTGATAACAGTATACCCATTTCATAGGGCTGTGGTGAGAACTAGATGAGTTAATACATTTAAGGAGCTTAGAAGTGTCTGGTGCGTAGCAAGTGCTACGTAAATGTTAAACCTTTCCTGCCCTTTTCATCTGCTCCTCCTTTTCCTTTTTTCCTGTTACAGCTTTCCTTCTTTTTTCCTATTTCCTCACTATGCCTTTGCTGGAATACTAAAAAGAAACTAGTGGTCCAACAGCAGGCAACACCTCATGCCATTACTTTAAATGACTTCAAAATAATACAAATATATCCAGCATAACAGTTTACATTTTAAAGGTGTTATACCAACTTTGTTTTGAGAAGTGTCAACAAAACCCGTGTTTCTTTTCTTTCTATAAGTTTAAAATGTCCCCAAATCAATTAACAATAGAGGAAAGTCAGGCTATGTTTTTTCTCTTTATACTGTTATCTCCTGTTTCCACTGTTTTTACACTTCTTTGCAGCTCAGTTTCCTTATCTGTAAGATATTCTTAGGATGAACTTAGTAAGAAATGTGCAATAACTAGACGAAGACCCACCAGACAGGATGCTCTCTTGCAGACACGCAACTCACTGACTCAACCAATGAGGAAATTATCCCACAAAGCAGATAATCCTAATGGAGGGCAGAATTCAGGGCTGAGCATCTCAGTGATGCCACCGGGAACCCAGGCTTCTCTGTCCCTTCACCAGACTAACCGAGTTCGAGACCACACGGGGGTCAGGTAGCCAAGGCTGGGCTTGGGAGGAATGAAGGAGGTGAGGGTGGCGCGCCGCGGGCCTGGGCCACTCCCTGAGTAGGGCGGCGGTGGCGGCGGCGGCGGCTGCAGGCCCGGTCGATTGTGAGGAGACAGCCGTGCCTCCTGGGCCGCGCACCCGACCATTCCCGGGGTCCCGGCTCGCGCCGCGCGAGGCGCGCTGGAGCGGAAGTGGCGGCGACCCCGCCGGAAGCGCGCGGCTGCGGCAGGGGAAGCAACCGAGAGCGCTCCTCCCGACTGCGCTGTGCGGGAGACAGCTTGCGGAGCCCACTGCCGGCGCGCCGAGAGCCCAGCAGCTCTTGAGTCCGGGAAGCAAGGGTGGGCGGAGGGAGGAGCCGGTGGCAAGGACCCAGACCTGGACGACCCCCAGTGCCGAGCCCGCGGAGCTGCTTGGTGAGTGGCCTCCAGGCGGCATCTCTTGCCCTCAGCCCGGAGAGGGTTTGGGGGACCCAGGCTGTGGCGCCGCCTCTTCCCATGCCTTCAGTTCACCCCGACGGGGGGTGAAAAACCCTAGAGACCCTCGGGAGTCCGTCCACCAAGGGAGGTCCAGACTCCCCAGGAATGTTGCCTAGGGCGGGGTGTCTGCGGTGGCGGGGGGTGATCCAGGCCCACCCTCTGCAGGGCACTTTGAATGCTCCACATCCCCAGTGAACAGCCTGTCACACATCACACCGTGGTGTATTTGAGATCCCATCTGCCACTTGGGCTGGAGGGAAATGAGTCGTCTTGGGTTTCTTGTCATTGCTTGCTGCCGATTCCGTTTTACTCCTGTTGGTTTATGGCCTCAAACATGAATTTGAAGAATTTTGCCTTCTCTGGCAGTATTGGGAACAAGATTCTTTTGTTCAAGTCCGTTTGAACAATTAGTTGGGAGTATTTACAAAAGGTCAGGCCGGGCACGGTGGCTCACACCTGTAATCCCAACACTTTGGGAGGCCAAATCGCAAGGATCGCTTGAGCCCAAGTGTTCGAGACCAGCTTGGGCAACAGAGGGAGACCTTGTCTCTACAAAAAATTTAAAAATTAGCTGGGCATGGTGGTGCATGCCTGTAGCCCCAGCTATACGGGAAGCTCAGGCGGGAGGATTGCTTGAGCCCGAAAGTTCGAGGCTGCTGTGAGCTGAGATCGCACCACTGCATTCCAGCCTGGGCAACAAAGCAAGACCCTGTCTAAGGTCGACTCTCCCACCTGGAAGGTATGGGACCTCGCAGTCTTCTCTAGGTTGCGTCTTTTTCACTGAAATCACAAAATCACTAAGGTAAGTAGGGAAGGGTCAAGATAGGTAACAGGAGTGAGGGGACACAGACACCAATAAAAGTTCTAACTTTGAGGACTTCTCCAGTATTCTTTTCATCCTAAAGCTTCTGGCCTATCAGCTAGTTCACACACAGCCTAGGAGTCTCAAGCCAGTACAGGAACAAGGAGGCAGGTTGCCCTCTTGGGGCAAAACTGTGACCCCACCCTTGATGAAGAAGGCCTGTAGGAACACAGGACCTGTGGGCAGGTAGACTCCTGAAGGTTTAAGATTCTGTAGAGCAGGTATGTGCAGTGCCAGTGCTCAACCAGCAACTGATGGACAGGAATAGGTAGAGCTGCTCTGAGTGCATGCCCTTGGCAACCCTGGGCCAGAGGCACACAGGAAGGAATTAATCATGTAGTATCCTAGGCCAGGTGCAGAAGCAAATGAGCCAGAGTGGAACCAGGACCAGCCAGGGCCAAGGCAGGGAGAAGAGTTCCGCTAGCTGACATTGACAGGAAAGCAGAGTCAAAAACCTGGAATGGTTTGCTTCAAAGACTGGATGCTGCCTAGTGACCTCAAAGACCAGTGATACCTGGACTCTTGAGTGAGCAAGGCAGATTTTGGATAAGCACACAACTTCAAGTAAGCCTAGACATGATTTCCTCTAGTTTCTGCTGCTCCTAGAGGCAGAATCATCTGAGAACTGATTGAGGAGTCCCTGTATATCTCAGAGACTAGTGCACTCTAGGGTAAAAGGAGTCATTCAGCCTTTACTCTTGGTTAGAGGCAGGACTCTAGTGTAGTTTGAATAAAATGTGTTACAGAACAAATTTCTAAGACCTTTAGGTTGAGTGAGTGTTAGAGTTTGTCTAGTAGTATATTTCTCATCAGTATCTATTTAGCTGTTCTGCATAGGCCTTTGATATATGGAAATAAGTAAGATAAATTTTTCCCAGAAACCCCAAAATAATTATAATGTTGAGAGAAGAATAAAGTAGGAACTCTGTCTGTACTGAAGAAGGAATTGGGTGGACAGAAAAGAGATGACTGCATGAGGTCAGGAGTTCAAGACCAACCTGGCCAACATGGTGAAACCCCATCTCTACAAAAATACAAAAATTAGCCAGGCATGATGGTGGGTTCCTGTAATCCCAGCTACTTGGGAGGCTGAGGCAGGAGAATTGCTAGAACTTGGGAGGTGGAGGTTGCAGCGAGCCAAGATCGTGCCATTGCACTCTAGCCTGGGCAACTGAGCGAGACTCCGTCTCAAAAAAAAAAAAAAAAAAAAAAGAGGTACCTGGTGACTGGTCACTGTGAGCTGGATCTGGGGAAGGTGGGAATGGAGACTAAGAGCTCTTGCTGAGAGGAGTTTGTGTAAGCCTTTTTCAGGTTCTTGTGTCTTTAGCATTTAAATCCTGGACTTAATAAGTAGACTGGCAGTTGTGGCATCAACACAACTAAAAGCCTCTTAGCGTACACTTGGAAAATCAGTCTGAAGTGAAAGAAACTTTTGGTGAAGTGTAAGTGGAAATGTTGGTTGGGTGCAGTGGTTCATACCTGTAATCCTAACATTTTGGGAGGCAAAGGTGGGAGGATTGCTTGAGACCAGGAATTTGAGACCAGTCTGGGCAACATGGCACACCCCTTTTCTTTTTCTTTTTTTTTGTGGGGAGACAAGGTCTGGCTTTGTTACCCAGGCTAAAGTGCAGTGCAGTGGCACTCTAACACTCACCCAACCTAAGGGTCTTAGTAGTATCCATAGAAAAAGCATTGACAAAAAGCATGCCATATGTTAAGATCAAAATTTATCTTTGGGTATTGAGTGCAACACTTGTTATAAGAAGCAAAATAAACTTAGAAGCAAAGGAGTGGATGAGGATATGTCTTGGGGGAAAATCCAAAGATTAGTTGTGATCAGGGTATAGTACTTTTTACCCTGACTTACATAACAGACTCTGCAAAATGTTAAAACCTTTAATGAAAACAAGTGAGATGTTGGACTCTAGTGTCACTCTTAATAATGAAATAGTCAACATTTGTTGAGCTTTTACTACATACCACAGGTGTTCTTCTAAGCTTTTTACTTTCATTAGCTCAGTAGTCCTTGCCTTATCATATAATAGGCACTACTGCATTGATATATGTTGTCATTTACCGAGGGAGCAGTTATCAAGAGCCCAGACAATAAGCTGAGAAATCTGAGTTGACTTTAAAGTCCTCCTGTGTTTCAACAAGGGTGCCAAGACCATTCAGTGGAGGAGGGATAGTCTTTTCAAAAAATAGTACTTAGAAAGCTGGATATCCACATACAAAATAATGTTGCTGGACTCCTTACCTTATACCATATACAGAACTTAAAGTGGATCAAATACCTAAATGTAAAACTGTTAGAAGAAAGCACAGGGCAAAAGCTTCATGATGTTAGATTTGGCAATTATTTCTCAGATATGACTCCAAAAGCACAGGCAACAACAACAAAAAAGATGAATTGGATTTCATCAAAATTATAAACTTTTGTACATCAAAGAACATGAAGAACAATGAAAAGGCAACCCACAGAACGAGAAAAAAAATTTGCAAATTATATATCTGATAAGAGATTAATATACAGGATAACAAACAACCCAATTGAAACACAAAGTAGCCAAGTGCATTGGCACACACTTATACTCCCTACTATTCAGGAGGCTGAGGCAGGAGGATTGCTGAGCCCAGAAGTTCGAGACCAGCCTGGGCAACATAGCAAGACCCTATCTCAAACAATAAATTATAAGCAAAGGACTTAAATAGACATTTCTCCAAAGATGATATACAAATGGCCAATAAGAACGTGAAAAGAGGTTCAACATCACTAGTCATTAGGGAAATGCAGATCAAAACCACAATGAGATACCAATTCATACCCATTAGAATGGCTATTATCAAAAACATGGGGCCAAGCACGGTGGGTCACACCTGTAATCCCAGCACTCTAGGAGGCCAAGGCAGGTGGATCACCTAACGTCAGGAGTTCAAGACCAGCCTGGCCAACATGGCAAAATCCTGTCTCTACTAAAAGATGCAAAAATTAGCTGGTTGTGGTGGTGGGTGCCTGTAGTCCCAGCCACTCAGGAGGCTGAGGCACGAGAATTGCTTGAACCTGGGAGATGGAGGTTGCAGTAAGCCAAGATCACGCCACTGCACTCCAGACTGAACAGAGCAAGACTCCATCAAAAAAAAAGAGAAAGAAAGAAAAGAGAAGAGAGAGAAAAGAAAAGATGGAAAAGACAAAATTGTTGGCAAAGATATTGAGAAATTTGAACCCTTGTTATTACTGGTAATATAAAATGGTGTAGCCACTGTGAAAAACAGTTTGATGTGTCCTCAGAAAGTTAGATAATTACCTTATGACCCAGCAATTCAATTTTTAGGTTTATATTCAAAAGAATTGAAAGCAGAGACTGAAATAAGTACAGATACTTGGATGCCAGTATTTATAATAGCATTATTCACAGTGGCCAAAAGGTGGAACCAACCCAAGAATCCAGCAGATGAATGGATAAACAAAATGTGATTTAGACATACAACAAAATATATTCAGCCTTTTTTTGTTTTTGTTTTTGTTTATTTTGAGACGGAGTTTCGCTCTTGTTGCCCAGGCTGGAGTGCAATGGCAAGATCTCAGCCCACCGCAACCTCCACCTCCCAGGTTCAAGCGATTCTCCTGCCTCAACCTCCTGAGTAGCTGGGATTACAGGCACATGCCACCATGCCTGGCTAATTTTGTATTTTTAGTAGAGACGGGATTTCTCCATGTTGGCCAGGCTGGTCTCAGACTCCTGACCTCACGTGATCTGCCCCGCCTCAGCCTCCCAAAGTGCTGGGATTACAGGCATGAGTCACTGTGCCCAGCTTGAATCTTTTTATGTTTATTGTCTGTGGATTTTGTTTCATTCTTAGGAATGCCCTCCTTATTCCATGACTATAAAATATTTGCTAATGGTTTCCTCTGGTATGGTTTGAGTTTTCTTTTTTACATTTAAATGTCTGATGTTCCTGAGGTGTGATTCGATTTAGGTTGTTAGGTATAGTTCAGATGAATTTTTATTGTTTTTATTATTTTACATATATATTTAAATCTAATTTTACTGTTTGTTGTTGTTGTTGTTGTTGT